ACTACATAGCGAAGTCACCTTAAAAAGTCTCAAATATACTGCATTCGATAGAGGACTTCGAGAGCTATCAGAATTACTGTTTACATTTGATCCAGCTATTCGTTTTCATAGAAAAAAAATAATGACAAAGGGGGGGGGGGCTATAATTTTGATATACCCTGTATATACATGTTATCGGTTACTATTGATCAATATTTAAACCATGATTACAGATAAATTAACATTTATTCTATGATAAAAATCGTATATTCAAGAATTTAATAATATAAATTCTTCATTAAACCTTTTTTCTTTTTTGTTGTAACAACAAATGTTTCTTTCGTATGATTATTCTTCTATAAATTCTATTCATAATATTTTGTACTCAATATATTTCAACGTCATCATCTTTCACATTAAACATTTTCTTTTCATTCATACGCCTCTCTACAACCTACGTTTCAACCGCTGTTATGAATGCATAGAAACAAAACAAACGAAAAAGAAAAAAAATACTTTTTTATGTTATATCGTCATTTTTAAAACAATCCCATCCCATTCTACATACAACAACAACAACAACAAAATCATGCATACATATTTAACAATCATTTCTTTTATTTTATTTATCTATGTAATATCAGGTAGACCAAATTTATTATCATCATCTGAAGATGATAGTAATGAAATACAATTACCAACCAATCTTCGTAATTTGAATCGACTTTTATTTATATCTCGTTTACGTACATTTTTAAATGATAATAATGAAGATAAAGAAACTATTGTTCGACATAAATCGGATGATGATGATCAACAAACAAAACCTGAAATAATCGATGATAAATCAAGTTCAGAAGATGATACAAATGAAATCGATCATAAAAATGTGCCAGTGAAGAATATCAAAGAAGAAGTACATTCTGTGAAAGACAAAAATGCAAAAGACATTGATTGAGTAAATAATAATATGGCAAAATCTGTGTGTGTGTGTGTATTTTTTTTTTCAATGAAAATTTTTCAATTCAAAAGACAAAAAAGAAAAAGAAAAAGATCTATCTATGAATTTCTCAAAGCTCCCTGATTGCAACAGAACAAGACAAAAAAAAAAAAAAAGACGAGAAATAAAACAAACAAAAAATGTTCAAATAAAAGATTTGATATAAGATGATTTGTACTAACAATATTTATCTAAGTGCACTCATTGATGTACTTGCACGTTGACTACTTGTTGATGTATGTGGTTGATGTTGTATTTGATGAACAAGATGTTGTACAACACCATTTGTTGCTTCTCAACGTCCTACAACTGTACCTGCTTTATCTGTTGGAATTTGTTGATTTACAAGTGCAGCTGCTGCTGCTGCTGCTGCTTGTTGTTGCATTTGAGTTTTAAGATCATATCGATGACGAGCAAAACTACCAGCAATATGACCTATTAATATTACATGAAAAAAGAATATATATATATACATCAGCAAACAAATTTTCTACCTTGAGATGCACTTGGTTGTAATGAAAATTGTTCAGGACCAGTAACACTATGACCTGTTGTTTGATAAACAGCATCCATACCAGGTGCATAAGTAGCATCCATCTAGATTTAAATTATTTAACAGAAAAATAAAAAAGATAAAAAGATTACTTCTTTATTATATTGTGTATGATCTTCGACATAACTTTGATAATCATCATAATTACCTACTCCGTGCTATTGGTGTTTTAATAAATGGTTTTGATAATTGAAGAGTTTTCATCTAGAATTACCAAAACAAAACAAAAAAAAAAACTTTGAATTAGTTAAATATAAATCTTTGTTTTACAAGATAAATTGCAATTATTGCTCCTAATGCAAATCCAACTGCAACATCTTCCCAATGATTTTTATTACTTGCTAATCGAACACCACCAGCAACAACTGATAATGTTATTATTGATAAAATAAGAAATGGTTTAACAATTCAAACACGTTCAATAAGTATACCACGATGAAGATAAATCTATTTTATCAAAATATACAAACAAACAAAATCAACAGAATAAATAAATCGATTTTATAAGACATACCGCAAGAAATATTGCACTATACATTGATAATGATGCATGTAATGATGGAAAAGAAAGTCTAAATAAATACATAATTGATTAAATATTAAATATCTTTTATCATACCGAGCTTCTCTTAATAATCCAGTCATATTCTTTGATAAACATACGAATTCAGCATCAGTTAAACCTTATATTAAAAAATTTTTTTTTGTTCGAAATTGTTATTAATCAAACATACCCATTCCATTACAAGATGATTGATCAGGATTACATAAAGTTAAAAAATAAGGTCTTAAACGACCTGACATTATTTTTAAAATATCTGTTAGTACAGTTGTTACCAATGCACCAAAAATAAACACAGCTATGAAGTAGAAAACAAACAAAAAAAAAAGAACTTTCATTTTTAATAAATTGATATATAAAACATACAAGTATATTTAAGAATACGAGTTAATGATCGAGTAAGACATTCTTTAAATCGAATAGCAAAACGAGTTCGATAAGAATTATATGCAATAAATGAACGAATAAGTTCAATTATTGAAATCTATTTACCAAAACAAAACAAAATATAAAGATATTCTTTTTTTTTTAATTTTCTTCTTACAACAATAATTGGAACAAGTAAACATATTAAATAAAGCGTAATATTTGAAAGTATAATATAATTTCGTTCTGTATTAGCATCTTCATAGGATTGATAATAACGAGCATCATCACATAAAAAACGTTGTTGTCGAACAGAAAATATATCTGATGCACTTTTTGTTTTTAAAATTAAATTTATTTATTATTAAAGTTCTATGTGTATATATATTCTTACCGTAGAAGAAATGCAATAATAGTTGTAAATACAAGCACGATACAATCAAGTACAGCTGTAGCTAATGCATATCGACTACCATTTCGAACATAATCACCTGTTGCTTCTGTATAAGGCCCACTGCTATAATAAAAACAAAAGAATTTCTACTTATCAAAAACAAAAAAAAAATTTTTTAATTTTATACATGCGAGATCGTGTATCCATTTGTTATTTAACTTGTCATCATAATCATTCGTTTCTTTTTTTTTTTTTACTAAATATAATATATAACTAGAATTGATAAAGCTCACTTTTTTTTTGTCTCAAATTCTTCTTTCTCTCTCTCTCTCTCTCTCTCTCTTTTTTTATTGTGTCATCCAAATATAGAAAGTGAATGAATGATGATGGCCGTGAAATATTCGCATATATGTAAACATTCGATCAATACGATTTTCTTGAGCACGTACACATTTAAACGAGTAGAATTTCGTATTTTATGATCATATGAACATTAGAACATTAGAATGAGAGAGAGAGAGAGAGAGAGAAAAGTTAAAGAGAGACGATCGACATTGTTTAACATGATCGGTCCGAAAAAAAAAGTTAAGACATTAACAAATACTAACCATCCGATAAAGAAAAAAAAAGAAAATAGAAACATTCTTTTCTTTTTTTGGTCTTATAAACAAAAGAATTTCGTTATGTAATAATTAGAAAAGAAAGATAATCATTAATTGTCATCCGTTATTTTGTTATAAATCAAGGTAAACATACCTACACGTATAACAATATGAAAAAAAAAAACTTATTCAATAAATTGACATTGAAATACAAAAGCAGGTTTTATCCATTGATGACAATTACATTGTATACCATGAAGTGAATATTCACCTAAAATAATTTTACAATTTGGACAAATTATTTTACCAAATGAATTATCAAATATATCATCAATCCAATCAAGAAAATATGTGAATATTTTTGTTTTATTATCACATATATTTATTGAATTTTCTTCATGTATTTGAATATCATTATTAGTAAATAATTTCCAATGAAAATTTCGACATTTATATTCTTTTTCATTTTCATCATTTAATATAAATTTTGATGTACTAGTTTTTTGTTCAATTAAATCAAAACGTTTACATTGAAATTCTTGATAAAGTTGATTTTCTTTATCAATTTTATAATTCATTTGATAAAATAAATCAAGTTGTTTTAAAAATCCATCATTTGGCATAATCATCCAATTATGTCGTTTTTCAATTAATCTTTCAATTGCTTGTTCACGTGTTAAAGAATATTTACGCATTAAATACATTGCAGTTATTGTTGCTGAACGTGATATACCTGATTGACAATGTATTAATATTTGATGACCTTGTTCTATAGTATTATCAATAAATTGAAAACATTTTTCAAAATCATTTGTTAATAAATCTGTTGATTGTAAATCTTCAGCATAAATATATAAATATGTTCGATTATTATCAATATAATTTGGTTTATAATCAAGAATGGTTAAAATATGTGTTATTTTATTATTATTAAGTTCTTCAATATTTTCTAATGCATTTATATCACCTAACTATATACCATTATCATCGATTTTATCTGCTGTAAACATTTATCTATATTTATTTATATAAAAAGAATAGTTTTTTATTTATTTTTTACAAAAAATAATGGAATTAATATATATTGAGATTAAAAAAAAGGAAAACAAAGAATATAGATCAATACATATTTTCTTTTTTATATTATCGGTGTAATAAAGAATAAAAAAAAAATTGATCATGTTTGCATGCATATAACTAAATCGTTAACAAGAAAAACTTGTTCATGCAATTGGATAATAAACACTGGACGGAATATAAATAATATCAATAGAATATGAAAACGAAATAATACATCCTTCACATGATTCCTTTAGCTGCTAATTCTTCTTGAACACTAAATAATAATAAAAAAATAAAAAATAAATTTCATTTGTTCTTGTTAAATAATTTTCTCACCGATTAAGATATGTCGGATCTGGATAACCAAAACTAGAAAAAAAAACAAACAAACTATTTTCAATATTTGATTTCACAAAATAAAAATTTACTTTTCCATTCCACCATGAATATTTGTTTTATGATGAATATCATTTCCATGTAACAACATTATCATAACCTGTTGTTCGAAATTGTCCAACAGTAAAAATTTGTCGAAGTTGAAAAGCTTTTTCCAGTAATTTAAGTACATGACGTCCATCGGAATTATCCGGTAAAAAAGCCTCACGATTTGTTCCATAATATGGTTTACCAGGATTTGGATGACTTTCCTAAAGGAAAAAATAAATGCACACAAATTATGATATTAATATAAAATTTACATTTTGTATTCCATTAGGAAATGAATAAGTTATTATTATAGTACCCGATGAATTATATTCAAAACCTGCTAAACGTCGCGTTGATGTATTATATTTCATTCTTCCATTTTCTGGTTGATTTCCTATATTTGAAATATAATAGAATATGAAAAATAAAAATTAGATTTATACCTCGAATTTCCCCCATAAATAGTAAAACAACATGGACATTGAGATTTCATTGATTGAAAATAATAATCAATACAATTTTTACAAAATGTATGACCATATTTATTAAGTGTTTTTGGTTGAATACAATCATCCATACAAATAGCACATGGATCGAAATCTAAATAAACAAGAAATTTTTTTAAATTAAAATTTCGTTTCTTTTCTTTTTTATTAACCTTTTTTATCGGTTGATTCATTTTCTTCGTATGAATTTACGTTTATTTCATCTGTTTTATTATGATTTTGATTGATAATATCTTTTTTGTTATCAGTTGATTCATCTGACGGAAAACTGCAGAATCAAGGATGTCTATGTGATGTTTGAGATGGAGATGATTTTGGAGCAACCAAAGGTGTTGGTGACTAAAGATAATAAATCTAATCTTGCTTTTTATTTGAGTAATGTATAACTTACGATATTGTCATCGAGTGTATGGTTTTCAGTATTATTAGGTGATGTTACTTTTTGCTTTGAAAACATATCTTTTATTAGTGTTAATGGATTTTTTGATGTTGTTGATTTAGGAACTGGTGAACAACTTTGAGCTCTTAATAATTCGTTTTTTACACCCAATTGTTTAGGAGTTGATTGACAAGAAGCCGACATAATTTTTTTTTTTATAAATTATCTATAAAGAAAAAGAATTGAGATATCATTCTGAAGAGTCAAAAAGAAATAACTGATTATTTATGTTTGTTCTTTTATTAGTTTTATGAATACAATTTGATTTTTATCTATTATGTATTACCTTGAATTGTTAAACAAATACAAAAAAAAAGAAGTAGAAAAACATTTAATTTTGATACCAGCTAAAATTTGAATGTTTATCCATCGTAGAATCTTGATCGATTTTATAAAATAATCAAGAATCGAGATTAACATTCACAGATCTAACGTATTCTCACTCATGTGTATTATTGTACTATCATATAAAACGTTTTTCTTTTGTGTTCGATCGAGTCTTTATATAATATGAATAGTTAACACGCATATAGAATGGGAAATTTTCCCCTCGTTTACCCACACAACTACCTACCTACTCATTCAGTCATCTACCCACTTAATCGTTCTATGGGTTTGTATATTTATTTATCCAGATGAAATAAAAGCATGATATGGTGAAGAAAGACAAAAAAAAACGAAGAAAAAGATGAAATGAAAAAGAACCGTTTTGAAAGAGAAAACAAATTAGTAAAAAAAGATTATCTATTCTGTTTTTTTTTCATCTTTCTTCTATTAATATTTTATCACAAATATTCATATACATCAACGCACAATTTCTTTTCGAAAACTCTATCTTACGTACAATTCTTTGTTATCTAAATGTAAATACTTATGTGTTTTCAATAATATATTTGGTTGAAAGAAATATATCTATATCCAACATCGGAATATTCGTAGTCAAATTGAAAAAGATGTTTTAAAACTATTCTAAACATATTTGAAATTATTTTCTTAAGTTAACCGGTCCAGTTGCCGGAGAATTTATCTAGATGAAAGAGTTGAAACACTAACATTTTGATAAAACATCATCAAAATATTCCATGAAAATAGAATTAAGCATAGGACCATGATAATGAAAAAAGAAATGAATCATAAAAACAATATCTTTCCTGTACTAAAATAACCGTCAACACAAGAAACATTCTCCTACATGTGGTAAGCACAAAAACAACAAGAGAGTTACAATATGTTCTCGAAAAAAAAAGGATTGTTTATACAGATCAGTTCCTATCAAAAACATGTTCGCAGCTGATCTAATGATGATACTCAACATACTTTTTCCTTTCATACTATGAGCATTTTATGAGTATAGATATTCCTTTAATTGGTGTTTCACGGGTAACATTATAGTTAATGTTCCACCTTGTGATATGAATGAGCTGTGAAAAAATGATGTGATCATTTTGTTTTTCATTTTTTTAATCTTCTATTGGTATTATGAAAGAATATAATAATGAATCAAAGAAACAGTTTTTAGAAAGATTATTGCATTTATGGATACACCAATTCCAATTCTTGGATTGGGATTGTTGGAATTGATCGAAATCAATCTATACTGTTTATTTTGTTCTTAGATCGAGGTATGATGATAAAAACGATACAACTATAAATCTTCTTTCTCCTATATGAGACCAAGGTCGACCAACTCCAACCAATTTTAATTAGCTTTTTATCGATTCTAGTCATAAGAGACCTGAGATCAATTCAATTTGAGTCAATGTCAGCCAGTTATAAATCGATTTCGACCAATTCCAGGAATTGGAATTGGTGCATCCCTAATTGAATTTATTAGAAAAAAAGCCAATACAATTTCTATTTTGTGTACCGATCGATATCAAAACTAGGTGAAATGTGAATATAATAACATTGTTCCTCGCATGGTTTCTAAGATTTGTGTTTTCGTATTATCCCACAGTGTGTACGAGTATCATAAATTGGAGTGTTCATCATCAAATGCACTACATTTCTGTAGTCACATTTTTCAAAAAAGCTCGTATGATACCTAAGATCCATTGAATTCGTTTAATAAAGCGTGTAAAAAGTGGCATTTTTGAATATTTATACGGACAAATAGTTGATTTCTAAACTGATGGCACTTTACTTTGTTTTTTGGTGTACAAAATTTGCTGGTAGTTACATCAACTTTAGAGCACGTAATAGAATTATTCAGTAATACAAGGTTTT